GGATGTCGAAGTCTTTGAGGTATGCATCTTGTTAGAATAGACAATAATACAATGAACCTCACTCAGTCTTCAACCCTTTCCAGAAAACTGATCGATTTTTGATGATACTCACTTCGTGATAAGGTCTAAAGGTGTTATGTTCGGCAATCCTGAAATGAAGTATGCATTCCATCATTGTGTGATAATGTATATCGAGCATTTTTGAGCACTCTTTCTTGCAACACGATCTCTGGGACTCAGGTAGTTCAATCGTTTACCGTTACAACACCTTAGGGCGAAGCTTACTACGATAGTGCATAGGCATTTCTGGAAAGGAATACTTTGAATAAGACCTCATTTTATGACTTCCATGACACCCTTTCCCCTTTCCACGTTCTCTTTCACCCCTTTACCGCTTACTTCCTTTCGCCTTACACCTGGGTCCGCCATGCTATGAAGGAGACGTGTATGTACGCGTGACCCCCTAATTGAGCTTTTTCAAAGAAGTTCTAAAAAGAGTATACGATCAAATTGTACAGCAGTAGGCCAAGTCAGAAACAGTCGGTTCGAGTGAGATCCACCCGGCTTGAGACAAAGGGCGAGCCCAAGCGATGTAGCCCCCTCTTGTACCAGCAGGTGGGCTGCAACCATTGATAACTCATCGGGAACGCGAGGTTCGCGACACGCATTTTCTCCACCTTTATCGAAAAGCTGGCTTTGTAGCATCCCTTCGTGATACTCTTTTACCGCTTCTCACCGTTCTCAAATAAGTTGGAGGAGTTTCCATGCTCAAATTTGTCAAGCGTGTCTACTACTCTGCCGGCAAGATTGTCTGCTTCTCGGAAGTAATCGGATTCCTGGTATAATAAAATGGAGCGGTGCACTCTAATCTTTCATTTACTTGTTCTTGTTGGAAGTCACGTCATGCTTTCGCTCTCACTTGTTTTCTTAACCACTGCATGCCGCGTACACTTCAACGAATCACAAACAGACTAGTCGTCTGCTTCAATAAGAACGATGTCAGAAAACCCATACCTTTCGATGGAGTTCACGCATCGCCAATAATAATGACTCCTGCGGTTCGAGGCATAGTGCTTGCCTCTTGAGAGCTTTGTTTTTTGGATTGTTAAGAATGGAGGAGAAGCAACCGATTTCGGAGTTCCATTTTGGTTTCATTCCATTTTTTTGGTTTGCACATCTGGTTCAAGACCATGCACAAGGACTGAGCAAGTATCGTCCTTATTGCACAAGGCCTCGAACTTGGGTAGTTAAACCAGTGAAGAAGAAATCATATATAATACAAACA